TCTTCTTCTTCTTCTTCTTCTTCTTCTTCTTCTTCTTCTTCTTCTTCCTCTCTCTCTCTCTCTCTGTCTCTGTGGGCACTTCTCGGTCTCGGTCTCTTTGGCGCCCTCAGGTAAGCCCTGCAAGATCACCTGCACCTTGTTCCTGTCACGAAACCCAGCTCGCCAGGGATTCACGGAACTGTGTCGCTGCTCGATACTGCCAACTGAAGAAAAAGCATGTTGACCGTATACACAGTATTGATATGTCGTGCATCCAAAAGCTAGTGGCCCCCATATGACTGGAAGCTGCATATTTTACCTTGAAGGTGCTTAGCTTCCAACAACCCTGCCCCACGAAGTCGGCAATGGAGATACACTGCTGGCTGCTACATTCAGGATCTAGTTGATTTCCTAGCAGTTTAACAAGGACCCCAAAGGGGGAACTCATCAACCCAAATGCGGCTGCCACTGGAAGACTCAGAGTGGTTTAACCCCACGCCCAGAAAGCATGAGTCGTGCCAACGAGGGTTCGTCCCCCAAACGAACGGCGCTTCTCCACCCACTTCCAAACGTGGAAGCTGACCCATCGGCAGGGTAGGATAGGTCAATCTTGAGTTTATGAGAGGAAACCCAGGTGATGTCGGAACCAAACACCTTCAGATCTTGGCCCCTGCTGTTGGCCCCTGGCCGTGTCCTGAAGAGCTGCAGAAGGAACGCTTTGTGGCGTTTGGAGAGGACCTGGGCCACGTGCGCTGCGAGCGCCGTGCATGGATTCAGAGCCCCAGCAAAGCTAGTGTTTATGTGCCTAAACAAGAAGGTGAATTCTGATTGTGTAAGATCTTTATATCGTCACATACATGGTTGTTCTCTAGAGATACTAAACGACATAGAGGTCCACCAAGAAACCAGTGGAGTTGGGCTTCGCTTTTAGCTTTCAGCAGCATGGAATGCAACCCTCGGAATGCATAGCCTTCACTGAGACTGCCTTTAAATCGATTAGAAAGAATCTTTTTCAAGCTCATGTCTTATGGCAGTTTCACAGAGCTTTTCACTGCGGGTGCCTCCAACTTGTGACATCTATGTCTATATACAGTAAGTTTGTTTGGGTTCAATGCGAGGCAAGTCCCATCACTCAGTTCATGAGTCCAAACAAGCGTTCCTCTTCTAATCTCGGATTCATCTTCGACTGGCAGCAACAACACACTCGGAAAAAGAAAGGAGTCACATCATCCTGATTCTCAGCAGCACAAACCCCAAAGCCCCACTAGAATTCACTGCTTAACAGCTGCTAGTACGTAGCTTGTTACTGGTAGCGATGGCCACCGAGCATAGCGTCCCTGCTAGTAGCCGCCGCCTGCCCCGCCTGCCCCGCGGGGGTTGTCCCGAAGTCCCGTCCCACCGAGCGGCGGGGAAGCCCTGCTTGTTCGTCAAGAAGGCATCCGTCGGGATGATCACAGAGCGGACTGGCCGGTGGTTGGGGCCCGTTTTGGTTGGAGTCTGCCCGGGGGTGACTAGGATAGGTTCCATTATGTTCCTCTTTTTGTGGGTTCGAGCTAATTTACATGGTATTTTCAAGTTTTTAGTTGATTTTGCTGAGTCACAAGGAGTGCTCTCCTTGCTTGTTGACAAGGCAGCTTCCGTTTGGAAAATGAGAGGTGCGGCGGCGTGGATCGTCCAGCAACGCGAAAGAATAATGCCGCAAATGTTCAAAAATGAAAGGTTTCTTGTTGGGTGAACCAATAGCCGACGCAAGCCTCGTAACCTGATAAGGCTTGCCGCAAGTGTGTCTCAGAGTACCAAGCTCCGTACTTTACGTATTCAATTAAACAATAGCATACAGTTACAAGGGAATCAAAATGAATCAAGATTCAAACAAATTACAAAAAAAGAAAAGTGAATATATATATATATATGTATATATATATATACTGCAAGCTAGGACATCACTCCCATCCCATCCCGCTGTGTTTTTTCCTTTACCTCACTCCTATCTTCGCTCGCCTGGCTCTGCCAGCCACCTGTGCAGCTCTCGGTCTGTCTCCGGGAGGTCCTCCGTCAACTCCAGGCATACCTATCACTGGCTTCGCTTCCGAGTCCGCCAGGTTTTGTTCTAAAGAACCACCTGGAAAAGCACAGCGACTATCGTGATTTTCAGGACATTTCTGGTACTGCCTCTTTCTGGTAGGGCTGGGCCATGATCTGTGGATCCACAGTCTTTTCAAAGGCGAAGCTTCTTGTCGGTTGCACAGCTGTAGATAGAAAAGTGTATGGAAGAAGAATGCTTAGTCAAACTAAACTGTATACATGAAATTACTTCCCCTCATTAGTTCCAACCTGATGGTGCACCAATAAAAATGTAAACGAAAATGGTATTGGAGACTTCTTTGAGTGTCCGTGAATTTTGAGGGTACTACCGACTTCGTGCTTGAGGCTTGCTCATCCTTTTTTGTGCATAGACCAAACCCTGAAGAGTTCCAAGATCATGATATCGCATAATATGGCTGTGCATGTTGCAAAGCATTGACTTGTGGGCAAGTCAAAGCCCCACGACTCACAACACTTTTTCAACTAATTGGTAAAAACTCTACTATGCCTCAACTGGCATTGCCTTTGCGTTGTGTCCCAACCGACCATTCAACAGGCTTCTCGGCGCGTGTGTTTGGTCCCACCTGCAGCCGCGGATTCTGATCGCACAGCAGGCGCAAGGCGTTCCAGGAGTTCCAACCATCTACCTGTAACTCAGCGCACCGCGCGAGCATCCGCACGGATGTGCCCGGATGCACACCCGGCCGGCAAAGAGAATCTCCCACACATCGAATGCTGGCACCTTTTGGTTAAGCCATCAGGGTGCTTGGATGGTATACCAGAGAGTCTTGCATATTGGAATGGAACGAATGATTGATGCCGTGGATGCTGCGGGCCCTACCAAATCAATAGAGAGTCAATGCATACCCTTTCCAACCAGCATGCCAAGAGAGGAGGGAAGCTTCATTGTTGGCAGTGAGATAAACTCGTGACTCTCCCCAACACCAACGTGCTCAAGTTCAAGCCTGGAAGACTAAGGCCTTACAAACAAGCTCCATCAGGCTTTGAAAAACCAGAACTTGAGGCCCCAGGCCTCTGCACCATCGACTTGTCTAAGCAAAGGGATTCGCACCATCAGCTGCGTGGTGCATATGCCTGGGTTGCGCAGGATGTTTTTTCTTGCGCTTGGTTGAGGTTGAAAGCCAAGTGGGATGAACTGCTGCACCTTTGAAAAGCTGTGCGAGACTCGAAGTCCAAAGAGGTTCTTGATGGATTGTGTCCATTGAAGCTGAAGCTGAAGCTCCTTCAAGCTGATTGGACCCCGGTCAAGGAAAAGAATCCAGTTGTGTTGTGGCTGTTGAATCTCCCTGTTTAGCGCCTGAGAGTCTGAGAATGAAACAGCTCAACAGCGCCACTGAGCAACGTGGTCTTCCTGGAAGGTTTCTGGATGCGGATACGCATTTTTTCTGCCCAGTCACTTCCAAGGCCAATGCGGCTCAGCCTGGGCTCAGAGTCAGAGGCTGCGAAAGAAATCGTTGGAATGACAGAATTCTGGGTTGAAACCCACCCCATGGTCCAATGTGAACATCTCCCGAATGAGCAAATTTAGCTTGTTTGGACTCCCATGTTGGGCACTCGGGTAAAGCAGGTTCAAGGATACAAAGACTGCTTCTGGTTAAGTGAGTTGACAGAACACTACGTTGAATGGTGCCATACACAGTGGTCTTGAAGTGACTGCCATTCCCAAACCAGAATGTCCTCAAGGCTCAGAAAAAAAAAATAACATATATATAAATCCAGGAGCACAGCGCCAAGTTGGCGCCCGGTTCTGACTTCGCTTTCCTGGAGCTTTTTCTGGGCTCCCCCCGCGCAGCTGCAAACAGCTCACAGCTGTTGGGCGGAGAAGGTAGGATGATGCCTAGTGGAAAAATGGCCGGGAGGGACTGTATAAACCAGTCACACACCACACACCCGAAGACTGTACGAAGTTGACACTGACTGACGTCTCGGTTCTCAGTCCCCGACATCTACGCGGTTTGAGGAACCCGTGTCTCAATTTCAACCACGAGCATCTGTCGCCCCTTGCTTTCATTCGTTCAATTCTAAGGGGTTATTGTTACATTGTGGGTCACTCTTTCTTGAGCCGCAACAAGATGTTCCAGCAAACACTTGGGGGCTGTAGACGTGATCTTGGGAAGCTTCACAAACAAAAACGTGGGGTGTGGGTGTGTGTGTGTGTGTGTGTGTGTGTGGGTGTGAGACTGCTCCTTTTCATGTTTTGTCCTTTCCAGGGTGCTTCGTGCAGTCTGAAGTTCCGCACAGTCTTCTGGGAGGTTGTCTTTGGGGCCTTCAGGTCAGGGAAGTTACAGTAAACCATCAGTGCACTTCCCCGGGAGGCCATGCATTCCGCCCAGGTGTCATGGCCTCCACAAGACAACGGGATAGGAATTACTTTGCATTTGCGGGAGGAGGCCTTTTTGAGAATGTTCGACCTCCGAACAACTTCGTACCAGTAGTTGCATTAAGCATATTTTAAAAAAATAAAGTAGTAAAAACAAAACATAATGTGACATATACAATTCAATGTGATGTTTTTACGGTGCAGAAACCTTTTGACCAATCAAGAGGTTTGCAGGGGTGGCTCAAACAAGGTGGCCCACAACAGACCCTTTGCTCAAGTCGTGTCTCATTTGGAACCCTGGCCCTTGCTCCCAATCCTCCCTGAACAAATATCAAAGCAAAGGCGTTGCTGTCACCGCTGGAAAGACACCGGTCTCGCCGCCCACCAACGAGTCGGCTCGCTGGAACCCCGTGCCGTAGACGCCCAAATGAGACGCCCAGCTCAATTCCTGCAACCATGGCAGTTGCGGGTCCCCACCCACCCACTGGATTGGTGGTCTTAAAGCAAACCAGGAGGGTCTGGGAATCCACAAAAGGACACCCCCTGTGCAGGCATGGTGCAGTGCAGGAATATTCCACGAGATGAAGCCAATAAGGTTTAAACACTGCTTCAACTGGATTTGCTGAAGTGTTCGTTTTCGGAGCTCTGTAGCTCCAAACTCTGCTCTGCTCAAGGACTTCCATCCGAGCCGTCTCCACATGTTCGCTGCAATCCATTGGTTTAAGCTGTGTCCTTCTAAGCTACCCTTGGAGGATGAGCAATGGCAATCATACATTGTCTGATTTCTAAACTCAAGGACCCGGCTTCTTCTCCCTCGTGCCACACATAGCCACCTCGTAGGATCATTCAGAAGGCTACTCCATATCATGTCTTACACTGAAATTAACCCTTTTCTTGTGCTATTTCTGTTCGCTTCATACAGACAAAGCCTCAACACGATCCCGCAACACGCGGAAGAGCTTTGAGGTCGTGGTAACGGCTTCATCGCTCCCGAGCACGTCCTGCTCCAAGGACTGCAGGCAGTAGCTCTGGCTAGACCTGCAATCATCACACCCTGGCCGGTGAATATTATCATTAGCAGTTGCATCAAGTCGCTAGTGTATGGATGTTCCCACGAAATGGCTGTGTAGGTTCGGTTCCACCCACATGTACAAACAGCAATCCATGCATGTTCCTCTGGATACTCTTGAAGCTGCAAGAAACAAGAAACAAGCCTTATCGACTATCGACTGCAAGTGACTGGCATCCATTTTAACATTCCCACCCACCCACCCGGCCCCGAAGGATCCTTCATGGGACTGATCAGAATGGAATCCCCCCTCTTTGGTGTCAGACAAGATTAGCCACCTCCCCTGCTTAAAGAACCAAGAAAACACAACTAGCAAGCAAGAAACGAAGAAACACCACAATACATGTTCATGAAGAGAAAAGAAAAAAAACAACTCGTCCGGGGTCTCCCCAACTCCTTTGGTCTCTCCTTTGGTCAGACTTCCAACTCCGGTCATAACCCTTCCGTTGTCTTGGTCCCTGGCGTCTCCAGCCACTCCGACAAAGTTCCGATCTGGCGACGAGAGCATGCACACGGGCTGCTTGACCAGCGGGATACACAAGAGATACTGTAGGTAGACCTCCGGCCAGTTTTATTTGCTTTTGCCTGATGTCCACAGGAAAAACTCCATTTGATTTAAAATACCGATGGAACATGGAAGATCTGACATTCTCTGTCTTCAATCGAAGCTCTGCTTTTGGGCTGAAACCTTCACCTACCAGAGATTCTCGAGCATTTGGAAGAGCAAGAGTAGGACTTCATGGCGAGCTGAGGTACTTCGCAAAAAGTGTACTGAAAATTAGAATGAACTGTTGGAGCAAACGCCTTGCATAACTGGAGGAGTTCTCTGCACATGTTGTAGCACTATCTAGTTGGGTGATTTGGGGCTCGTGGTCTTGGATTTTGAGCGTTCACCAACAAGCGGAGGAACGGCTTGCATAGTTCTGGGGAACATCCCTCAATCCAAACCACCAATCCACCCACGCCTCACCACTCACTGCCAGCAAAAGACATTGTTTTATCTGATCAGACAGCCCCGAAAACAATGGAAAACCACTCCCACCACCGAACCCCATGCACCTCCCCTCAACTTCTTCCCCCCATTATGTTTTCCTTCGAACCGATCCCCCCGCGGTTTCACCGGGTGAAACCAGCACGTCCGATTCCGTCGCCCCGGGATCCCGGGCCACGGCCGAACTCCAGGTCTTGCTGTCCTCAGTTCGCTCGTGCCGGTCAGGCGCGCCGGTCAGACGCGGAACAACACCGACCGAACACAAGCTCGGGTCGTTGGAAGGATCTGAAGAAAAATAAACTCCCGATCGATGGGAGTGGACTCAGATCATCCCGGTGCCAGTGTTTTCTCTGGCCATTCACCAGAGAATATGTGCCAGTTGCTATCACCATGCAATCTGCTACGGATACCTATGGCTCCTTGGAAGTTCATTGGGCGTCCTGCACAGTAAACGGTGGTTCTGAGGAGCGGTGACCAGACCTTTTCGTTCCTCGTGGGTGAGAGTTCCATGAATCCGATACTCCCCGCCACAATGATGACGCCTGATAAGGGGCCTCCACTGAACAAGTGGTCCCTGCTGTCCTTCTGAATTCCTACTTAGAGCGGAAAATGCAAGGTATAAAGCCTTGATCCCAAGTAAGGTCTATAAAGATCTACATCGAGTTCACTCGTGAAAGGGACTAGCTGAAATGTGTGCACACCACTGTGTTTGTCACACCACTGTGTGGGCGAGACAATGAAAGATCCACCATGCTGATTCCACTCCAAACCGTGTCAAGTGATGAATCCTTCAGGAGAATGAGCAGATTGAACCAAGCTTTCATCCTTGGAATGTCATTTGAGGCTACCCTGTGTGCCAGGGAGCATCCCAGTACAACTGGCACACCCAATCCGAAATCAACATACCTGACCGAACAGACATGTGAGGGAAACCGTACAAAACCAGGTTCTGCCCACAGGAATGGTTGAAACTTTCTGTTCAATGCTTGGGTAAGACACCGTTTGTTCATGTCGTGATTTATCATATTCGAAGCTCCAAGGCATCCTGAGTTTGCACAGTTAGGTCTTGAGTATGTCTGTTTATTTTCTGCCTGTTCTGGCCTGTTCACTGCCTTTAACAGCAAAACGGCCAATAGTTTGCCTTGGAGCACTTTTGGCATGTCAATGCTTGTTCAGGTACTGTAGTTGAAACGGTGACTTTTTGCGACCAAACTGTACTTGCAACTTCTGGCAAAAAGTGCACAGCAGCAGCATGTTTGAAAATCGTGCTTCCCTTTTGACCACAAACGCCTGAAAACTCTATGTTGTTCATCCGAGAAAGGTGGTCAAAATCAGAAACCATGCCAGGTCCATGTGTGAGATCAGGAATTGACAGAGCAACTTGTGCAAGGATGTAAGGACTATATATACATAATATGGCTCTGAACTGCCTGCCGAACATAATTCACCTTTCATTGTTTGCCAGCTTTGCGAGATGTCCAACTGATGGAAATCTGATTTGGCAGAAATCTGGCGGTCCTCTCTTCTGATATCCAAACTCACATAAAGTGTTGCTCTCAGGAATACTTCCCAGGCACTCCCTGGAATCGGCATCTGGGGGCGCCAAACTAGCGCCAGATCTGACACCGTCGAGGGCTGCAATCTGTACCTACCCACCAGCTGAGGTTCTCAGCGCTGGCGAACCCAGCAGCTTACCCAATGCTGATATGGGTGTTTCCCACCACCCGGAACATACTTTGAAGACGCCTCCGGGCCTTCCGGGTGTGGATCTTGAACGAAGAAGTCATTCCCTTCAGGTGTCTATTCTGGAAAGTGGCTACCCCGGATCTGGATTCGCAGGGAGTCTGGTCGGAGTCGTCGCCCAGCTGTGAAGCTGATCTGAGTCGATTCCCAAAGTATACAGTTGCATCAAATGACTCTCTCAATTCCCACATGTGTGAGGCTTCAAACTATCCTCCAGCTGTGCCCATGTTTTGGAAGCATTCTTGTGGCAAGGTGGCTGACAGAAAACTGAAACCATCTAAAGCCGCAGTGCCCTCGTTCAACGCCACCGTCTGGGAGAGTCGCCCATCTGCTGGGCGCACTTGCCGTCGCTGGGCACTTGGTCCCGCTTGAACCTGGAAGCCGGGGATCGGGGCGCGGAGCAGGGGGCAACGAATCAGTGTTGGGGTGTCGAACAAATGAATCGCCAAGGCTGGGAATTGCCATTGCAACGCGCTGTTCTCGACCATATAGGAGCTCAAATTGGAAGAGGCTACACCTCACATGAACCTAGTTAATTGCTGGTAGTTGCCTGGGATAGCTAGATTCTCTGGTACTTACCAAGCTTTGCTCTAACTCTACATGGTGTTCAAGGTGCCCAATAACGGATCCCAAGGCTTTCGTGAAGCTTGACCCCAAGCTGGGTTTTGCATGGAGGGTGAATACTTGGAAAAGGTGGGATGGTCCGACTCTCAGTGAAAAGGCTGTTCAAGACGCATTCTGACACTCCCACTCAGGAAAATACATATATATATATATAGAGAGAGAGAGAGATGTACATATATATATATATATGTATCTGTGTGTTCAAGAAGAAGCCACTCCAAGTCCTACCATCAAAGAATTTTTTTTGGAGCGCTGTGCCTCCGCCAAGGGAGACAGTTTGCTTGCCTCTGTTCTTTCCAAATGAAGGGATCATGACTCGATTGAAAGAAGCTTCATCGGCACTGCCCACTAGTGTCAAAACCGCTTGGCGCTTGGTTCTTTTCTCATGAGCCCAACCAGTCGGAATGCCGCCCCATTGGGGCTGAACTGCCAGGCGACTGACGCCCAGCAGAAAAAGGATCCGCCAGGTTGAAAACATAATGGGCAATAATGGGTAGATGTTGTGTCTCTTCAATATGAACTAGGGAGGCATGGCGCAAAAAGAACAAAGGTCCTTGGGCACCGCTAGATTGCCAACCAAAGACAAAAATAGAAACAAAAATGCCTGACTGCCTTTCTCCTCACCCAGTTCACTGCGACACCGCACCAACAGGTGCCAGACGCCTGCCCGGAACCAGACACCCAGTACGACCCGGAGATGCGAGCTCCTACAAGGTTTGGGGTGCAAAACGCATGACCACGACTAAGGTACACACAAGTAACCGCCCAATCTGGCACCCCAACATCGCAGCATACGGACTCATATGGACCTTCCAATTCACTCCCTGGGTAAATATATATATATATATTATCACTATATTATATATATATATATATATTAATATGTAAATATTGTGTATGTTATTGTCTTATTCGTTTATTTTGTGTCTGGTCGAGTCTTCGGGGGTGGAGAAGATCTGGAAATTCACCCACAAGTTCTTCCGTACTCTGTCGGGGTCTCATGAGACCACAAATGAACGGCTGGAACACCCATCTGCCAGCTTCGCCGTGGCTTTGCAATGACTTCGCTCGGCTTCGCTGGTGTTTTCGTGTGTTCAATCTTCCCCAAGCAACACCGCACTGGAACTGGAGGCTTTGGAAGACGATCTTCCTCTGTCAGTGCGGACCCTCATTCGCCTCTTTGAGGGGAGTGGATCGATCTGCTCGTTGAAGGCTGAATGGAGAGGGTCTCGTGGCCTAAGGTGGTCTATCACAGCCCGCAGAGCCTCAGGGACGCTGGAAAAAAGTGTCTGAAAGGGGCTGACAAAGTGCTGTGATACCATCCCATCGCCATGGTGGTTTCGTGGGTCGATCTGCAGACGAAAAAGATGTGTCGTTGCTGTTTCACCGACTTTTGGTATCACAACTTGCACACCCAATTTACAACTTGCAAAAGAGACTCTCCTCGGCCCATAAGCTTCGCTTGGGGCCAAGCTAGAGTCCAGTAAAAGCAACTTTTTTGCTGCATCTTTAAGCTGAGCTTGACAGCCTCTGTCACTCTTTCATCCACCTCACAGGCGACGCCTTATACGGGAGAGCGGAGGCTTCGCTCTGTTTTGCCCTCGGTGAAGGTCAGGAGGGCCGAGGCCACCACTTAGGAGAGCGGATCTGCTTTCAGAGCAGCAGGCACTTCCCACGATGACCAGACATGATATCATCCTGTAACAGTACATATATAAGTGTTCTATAATTGCGAGGGCCCCACAGGGTGCCGGGCACATGTACGCGTCAGATCTGCTCCAACCAACAGCTCTTGGTCAAAATTCACCATGCCCATGGGTCAATGTGGTGGACTCGGGTCACGTTTGGATGGCATCATTGGGGAAGCGAGCAAACCAAGCGAAGATCAGATGATCAAGATCCCCATCTGGCTAGGTCGAACCTAAAGGGGTTGAATTCCTCACTTTCTCGCTGGTTAGTCGATAACTACTCTTCAGACTCTTCTGCCTCTACCAAACAGTTTCTTCAGGGTCCCCCTCATTCTGGGACAGACCTTATCCTTCTTTGTTTCAGCCCTTCACATGATGCGTGCCTAACACCCTATTACCTCTGAAAGACCTTCAGCACTTGGATTTGCCCACAGAAAGCCTCTCGAAATCCACTGCATGAGATGTTCTGCCTCCATCAACGACCAGCTATGCGATTTCAGAGCCCATAATGATCCTTTGATCTAGAAATTATTGTTCTCATATCTTGGTTCTGCCTATGCAACGACCTTCAAAATCGGGTAGATGTAAGCTCCTTACATGTTCGAGGCATTGGCCTTTTCAGGGTCCCAAGTCCGAAAACCTCCACCAAGGCGCCGCATCTGGGTTCGATTCAGCAGAGTCCCAGCGCGCACATCCAAACGATCTCAGCGACCATCGGACGAACAAAGACGTCTGGGGACCCACAATGAAGTGTAGTGGTCTGGAAATGAAAATCGAGGTGTATTGATCCCGACGGAGTCCGTGGGCGGATCGCCAGTAGTGGGCAGGAGATCTACGTGTCGGATCATTGCTCAGTGTCCATTCACCACGATACGAGAAGTCATGTCTCAGAGTACTTGAGGGGGACTCTTGCCCTTCCTAGTGCAACAACATTTACTTTGTCTTGTCTTCCCCCAAGTAATCATCATCCCTGCATCAAAGTTCTATCCATGTCAGGTTCATGTGCACACATCATCGCGAATCCCAGATCTGCCCCAAGCGGTTGAGGGATGCACAAGCAGTTCCTCAAAAGAGGAATTGCATCGATCCTCGTTGCTACTGTTCAAAAGGAGATGGCAAACTCCGTCTCCTTCACTCCGGGAAATTCAGAAACAAAAGTCGACTTAGGGGAACAACCTCGCGATTGCTGAGCAACCTAGCAACGTATTCTGCAAATCTTCGAAGAGTGCAACTTAACAAATCAAGGCCCTGTGCAAGTGCACTGGCTGCCCCTTCAATTCAGAGGATCAACCACACCAACCACACCACACCGGTGAAGTAACTTGCAAAAGAAAAGGGTCCACCAAAGCATACAACCTGCAAAACCCGCCTCGCCGGACCTCAGAACCTCCCCCTGCACCGCACTTTCCCAAGGCACTGCAGCTGTGACCGGCGGAGCCACGAGCATCGCGCTGCTGATGCTGCCCATGAAGCTGTCTGAAGGGTCAGGCGGGGAGACGTGCGGCGTTGCGTCCGCAGAGGCAGGTGAGGACTCCCGTCGATCCGACAGAAGATGAGGTGCAATACGTCCCCGAAGGCCCCGAAGTATGTTTCTTCCACTTCCAGGATGAGAAGGTGATCAATCTCTAGTACAGGTGTAACGGTCAAAGGGGGTTCCACTGTCATGGGAAGCACCCGCTTGAGCCCGCTTCCTGCACCCAGGGCACCATCTGTGGGAGGCACATAATCCTCATCCACCTGCCAAGACGGTGCAGGAGATCCACTCCCATCAACTCGAAGTTCCTGTCTACTTTCTATTCACGCTACACTTGGTTTCACGTCATTTCTCAATATTCACCAAATTGATCTGACTCTCTGACCTGTCTTGAGTGTAAATATTGGAACTTGTTCGGTTGCATTGAGACCCACCCAAGCAAAACAAACCTGTACTCCTGGACAGGACACTCCTGAAATATCATCCTCACCAGTTGGGTTCGCACCCAGCTCCTCCGGCTCTCCACTAGCGGCTAGCGGCTTGCAGCTCTCGACCCTTACATCGGACGCTCCCAATCGACTCGAATCCCCAACTTCCAGAGTCTGAGGGGGTCTCTGCCGTCTTTGAAGGACGGGTCCTCTTCACAGAATGTGGGAAGAGAAGAATGTCGCTCCTTCACACCCAGATGTCGCAGCCCACGGTCATTCTCCAGTGCACCTTTTTCGGGGGCTTCGGAACCTTTTCCGTCCGGCCACGTCCGGGCGCCCTCGCCGCATCCCATCAGCACCCCCCGCTGACCGTGCAGTTGGGGATGGTGAAGTTCCATTGTTGACGGCGGTCATGAGCTGAGCAGGGACTTCAAAGGAGTGAAACAAGCTTGCACAAATCGAAAGACATATCAGTGCGTCACATCTCAATCATAGAAAACATGGATGCTGAGCCCTTGAGAACTTGAGTGCGTGACTTAGGGGTCCCGTTGAAGGGCGAGGATGGAAGGGCAAGAGAATGCCAGTCAGCCCACTTGTGATGTCCTTGGAATCTACTGGAAGACCTTCCCCTGTTCTACTGCCCAGGCCCAGGCCTTTGGTAATTGCACAGGGGGCTGTTCAGACGGTGCCCACAGGAACACAGCAACACCGAGACCCTGCTCCGAAGGGAATCCCCTCAAAGGCCAGGGGTGACCAAGACTCAGCCAACCGGGCATAACTTGTGTACTGGAATCCTGAAATCTTCCTGGTTTAATGCAGTTAAAAGGCCTCGTGCAAATGCAAGAGGCAAAGCTCACACGCCCCTGCTTTTGTTTGTTGTTCTCTTCAACATTCCGAGTGGATGAATACCAAGGGCTTTGGCTCAAGTCGTTGACCCAAGCCCTATGAAAGGACATAAAAGGAAAAGAATACAATACAAGAGCAAAGATAGAAGGTATTTCGGCACCTCTTTTTAAGGGGCCCAAACACCTTCTTTCTTTCTCACCGGATCTGGGGAAGTCCACCTTCTCAACCATCTCAAACACCCTTCAACACGGAGACTCCAAGGGCTCAACAGAGCCTTTCAATGGCTTTCAACTTCCCAGATTGATCAAGTAGCGTCCGATCGCTCCTAGTAGCGATGCCAGGAGCCCCTAGTAGCTTCTTGTTCCTAGGAGCCCCTAGTAGCGTCCTTGCTCCTAATAGCGATGCCCTTTGCTACTAGTAGCTTTTTGTTCCTAGTAGTAATGTGAAATCTGATGGTCACACCTTCTGCGATCACTCTGACCTATCAGCTATCAACGCCTTCTCCCCTCACCACTGAACTTCCGGAACTTCCGGCCCAGGCACGCTCGAACCAGTTGGCCTGCCCGCTGCCACTGTTCTTGACGTCTACGGTGCCAAAGCGCCAGTAACACTTCGCCAGGTTCCATTGAGTCACCAAGAATTTCCTCAAACGGGTGGACACTCCTCACGAAAAGTGAAAAATATCACCGGAGCGGGTCCCTTTCCCTCTCCTGGTGCAGGGAGTGTTCGGTTCCACTGGAAAAGTGTCGAAGTATACTTGGTAGGCGGATTATTGAACTAGACATATTCAGGAATTAAACACACAAACGTCCACTGCTGCGATTGGCGAAATGATGTTCGATTTCTCGGTCATGGTGCCCAGTCGTTTCGATGCTGTGAGTCCTCAGACATCTGATTTGGGATTCCCTCCTCCAACTCTGCAAGAAAGAGACCTTTGAAACACACAAACAAATCATCTCAGGGTGCAAACGGTCTGTGGAAGACCAAAAACATCCGTATGTGTCCGTGTACAAAGGCCGTAGAGGCCCGGCATTACGCAACTGTTGCATTCTGGAGGTTTTGGAGGCTGCGGCTGCGCTTCAGTCTGGGAATTCCTTCATGCTCCTTGGGGTAGGGTCTTCTCGTTTGAGACAAGCTCATTGGTACCAGGCATTGTTCCAAGAAACTCGCTTCGTCGTTCAAAAACTATAGAGATTGGTTTCATGGCCCAAAAACCAACTTGGATGAGCTCCAAGAGAAAAACAATAGAATAAAACGTTCAAACACGTCTTCCATCCCGTCATCCTATCAGGCCCGTGTCTTTCTCCAAGGGACCCTTGGTCCGGCGCATAGCCGCGGACGACTTGCATCTGGCGGAGCTGGTGGGCGGAACACCGGTGGGTTCGGGCACCCAAAAACGAGCATTGAAGGGACCTACCTGCGGCCCTCTTCAAGGGGAAGTGGAGAGCAAGATTGCAGGTGGTGTTTGGGACTTCAAGTCCTGGGAAGCAAGAAGTTGAAATCCCAGATTACTTTTCTTTCGGATACTCCCGCTCCTTCACAAACTACGTTCTCTTCTGTTGAGGCATATTCCAAAACTCCCAAGCGTGTCGACGCATCAACAAGAATCGGTGAGATCTTTTTAAAAACACACCCTGTGAACTCTCTGAAACAACCTAGCCCTCACACCCCACGACACCCCCAGGCGCGTGCCGGCTCGCCCCAGTAGTTCAGCAGCGGAATTCTGGACCTTGGTGAAGCTTTCTCACTTCTCAGCACAGAGAAGAAGGTGACAGAACCTAATAGAACAGAAGAAGAACTTTTTACAAAAGAGAAAAGCCCACTAAGACCACAAAGAGCTTGTTGAGGAAAGAGAAAGAGTAGTATCAGCAGAGAAAGAACTGTATAAGAAGAGAAGGAGCTGACATGAGCTGACTATCTGTTGTAGTACTAAATAGGGAAGATCCACTGTCTGAGTGGGGGGGTGATAAATAGAAAGATCTCTAGGCCTCTAGGCACAGTAAGTTAAGGCACATTGCCAGGATACGGGCCAATCAATCCTCTTGTATTTTGTGCAGCCAGAGCAAAGCGTTCAGTTTTGTGAGTTTCTCAGTATTTTTGAGAATTCCAGCTTCTAAGAGCAGAAAGAGCTGAGCAAGGAAAAATACTTGACCACGAGAAAATTTAGTTGAAAATAGGAAGCTCTTGTGAAGAAAAAGGGCAGGAATGAAAGGATAAACAGGAAAAGTTAAGCTATAGAAGGAAGCGCTGAATAAGTTGAAACCTAATTATTAGTGGGGAACCAGCTTGTCAGAAGGGTAGAGGAAAGAATCAAGAAGACACGCAAGTAATTGAAGATTGACAGCTGCTGATAAGTTGTAAATAAAATATACTTGCTTCGCTTGATCCCAAAACAAACAAGAGAAACTAAACGAGAGATAAATTGAATCCCAGCCTGGGATCATATTACTGCCTGGGAGGATATGATACATACATACATATACATATACATATACATATACATATACATATACATATACATATACATATACATATACATATACATATACATATACATATACATATACATACAGTACATACATATAATATGTATACATGTAATGTCAACCTAGAATTAAGATAGATTAAGTAACCTCTCCCTATTAATCAAGCCCGGCTCGAGCCCCCAATACTAAAAAACTAATTTAAAACCTAATTTCCACATGTCCATCATCCCAATAATAAACATTTTCCTTGGCAGAACCTCCCCCTATTAATCAAGCCCAGCTGCTCAGAAAAGTATAGTAATGGTGTACGACTATATTTATTAATAGTAGTTGCTTTCTTTTTAGTCAGCATCCAGTATCTTCTGGTCAACATCCATTGTTCCACAATCCCTAAAAACTCTCTAGCAAAAATTCATTCATTTTCCCTTAAAACTCTGTCAAAACCTTCAAGTGTTCAAGCTCACAAAGGGTACCCCTTACACAGGCCTCATGGTTCACACAGAATCCTAGCAACCATCATCCATCATCACGTCATCACCGGAATCTGGTCCTCCAATACCTCCAATCTCAAACCTTGTTGACCTTGTTGACCTTGAAGGGGGCCGCTGATTAATTCTACGTCGACATTAATGTATTTATGTGTATAACTGGCTAATGGGCCACTGGCTGACTCGAGTGTGTTGAGAACCTAATCGATTGCCCCAACAGTGCTATTCTGGTAAAGGCTGCCGTGTCCTTCCTCCACACGTCGAAAAATGCCTATGTATATAAACAAAGCAAAAAAGGAACGAACTAGGGTCTTACGCGTCAAACGGGCAGGGGAAGCTTGTCTTGTCTTCAGGCACTTCCCGTCACCGCCACCAACACATCACCCGCCACAACAGCCAGCTGCACACATGTCTTACCAGAAAGGCCCCTGCAGAGCGAGGAATCCCTCACTTCATCAACAAGTATAGCTTCCTCCCATCCGCCCGGGGACTCCACACCGATCGGTGGGATTCGGGCCGCGAAGAGATGGCCTCCCCGACGGCCCGTCACCGCCCCGGTCTCTAAGTCAGCCAGCGCGAGGGGCGCCCAATTTGGATCGTGTTGATGCTTCTGCCACGCTACTAGGAACAAGTGCCATGCTAGTAGTAACAGGTGCCTTACTAGTAGTAACAAGAAGCTACTAGAAACAAGTGCCACGCTACTAGGAACAAGTGCCACGTGGCACACCCGGTTTCTGGGGCCCCTGGCGAAGCATCTTCCTCGAAGCGCATGTCATACATGATTCTGTGTCCATTGATCTGTCCTCCCCAGGAGTGCCTTAGGCTGAAGCAGAGCTGAGAATCACCAGAAAAATTGAAGCTCCCCTTGATTTCAACAATCTCATTCAAAGAACTCAAAAAAAGGATGATTCCCCTGTTGAAAGCAAGGTTCAGAACGAGGTGTCCGAAAGAGAAATCATGCGGGCAGCACTGGGTTGCTGTTCTCATTCCCAACTTGAAAATCAAGGCATTCCACCTAGATCGTCAACACACCCTTGCTGAGCATCTTTTTGAGGTAGAGACAGTCAGAGAAAATCTTGCCCACTGCAGGGTTCTGCATGAAGGGCAGATGGGGCAACGACCAACTCCTTTTCTTTAGGTCTGAAAACTGTGAAAATCCGTTTAGGTCTGAATGAGTCTTGGGTCCTCAGAAGTGTCTCTCTGTCTGTGCCGAGGTCATGAGTCCAATCCAGGACACCAGTGTCCGGAGAACATCGCCAGGATCCGAGAGCCTGGCAGCTCCGGACGCAGGGTTTTTCTCCAGGCTCTAAACCCTTGGGCGACGCCATCTTCGGCTGGAGACGCCGGGTAACTGGCCAAAATCTGCGGGTGTCTGTTCCCCTGCAAGTCGTGATTGGTTGATACAGGCTGTTGCAAAGCACAGGTCTATGAACAGGTCGAAAGCCAGCATATGCTCCACTGACTGGAGGCAGTGGTGCCGCCAAAATGGTCATAGAGTTAGACCGTTCAAGTTGTTTCGTTGTACATCAAGAATGTCGCTCCAAGAAGGGCATCAAACAGCAAGAAATCCAGCTCTGATTTCACGCTTGCACAGTGGGAAGAATCCATTTCAAACCCGGGATCGGGAAGATCCAGCGTTGTATCATTTGGGGAATGGTGATAGCCCTTGAGGTCCAAACACCAGCCAGCTTATCAAGAATCTAGCAACTCTCCTTCTGATCGTTCGCAGACGCCGAATAAGCACAACACCGCATCCGTCATAATGTAGACTCTTAGACTGTTGATGAATAAAGCCCCTACCAGAGTCGTTTTACATCTCCCTATGGAGGATTGTGTCATTTTCAACCGTTTAGATGACCATCTTCTGCTTCAACACAAAACACTTCCTTATAGTGGGTTGCCCCCTTTTGTGCGTTTATCACGCACCGTGACCCACTAGGCCTGCCACCACTCGCTGGAAATAGCGCATGTGGTCCTTGTTGTACGTGTAGCCTTGTCGACAAGAACGAGTCGACTCTTTTGTTGGGACAGCTGGAAGACAAAAACAACTTGGCAGTTGGCTGTCAAAGCGAAAGCTCCACAGGAGAGTGGTGAGCTTTCTATTTTCGGTGGCATGTCTGTTGGAAACTCTCCAACTTGTTCAACATGCATCGCTTTCCTTGAGGAGCACTGAGCACCTCCAGTCTCACTGCTTGTTACCTTCGAAGGTGCCAGCCTTTGCTTGTGCCAATCCCGGACTTCCTGGATCACATTCTGGGGCCAAAGCCAAACTTGTTGCCAATGTCATGGATGAATAAAACGATGTAGTCACCAGTCCTGCCGCTGTCGCTGTGTCCACGTCATGCAAGGGTCGACATGCCGCTGTCTGTGTCTACCCGACTCGCTCGTAGACGAGCCCTCCAACAACCCTCGTCAGTGGTGGAATTAATATGTGCTTTGGGTCTAAAGCTGCCTTGTTTCCAAACCCATGCACGAACACCGGCAGCCTAAAGTGTGATAAGTCATTGAAACACAAGCCATTGAGTAGTTTGATGAGATTGCACCAGGAAACAGCAGACGAACGAACTCAGTTGCTTTGTTCGAAGAGATATGCAATGCAATGCGAATCAAGGCCAACAAGGATGTCAACTGGATGGACTGCCCCGGTGTTCTGCTTACACACGTTCCACATTGAAAAACTTGGTCCACAAGAACGCTCAACTTTCTTGCATAAGGAATCTGTGTACAACCTATCATCCATCAAGCGGGGAGCTGTGTTCCGAACACCAGCACGCCCAACATTCCTCCAACTCACTGACACAGATCTAGTCAAAAGGGCCACACACGCGATCATAAAGACCCCCCAAGTCGATCCTCAACACATGTTCGACCTACATATCTGGGTCCCACTCTTTAAACTCCCTAACTCGACCTTCCCCTGGTGGAATGGAGTCATCTCACCATCTCCTGTTGGCAATCTCTACCTCTTGCCGAACAAAACCCATGGTGGAGGCCACTCCTGCGTCCCCAGGCCGGGCTGAGGGGCATGATGGCATGGTCGGGGATACAAGCTGAAAAGGGAGCAAGAAGCCTGCTTAAAGGTTCTGTAGCTATGGCTGTGAACAAGTGAACCTATGCTCGCTACAAACATTTGTCTTTACCACTTCGACACAAACCTCAAAAAAAAACACGATCGCTAACACCGAGGTGATTTTGTTTTCACCAATGTGCACATGGCAGTACTAAACAACCCCTCCCCCAATCATTGTTTAGGAGGGAACATGTCTCGCCACAATAATAAACTCTCCTGCAATACCAAAACTTGGACCAAACAATTGGAAAGAATCAAGAGGCAAGTGAAAGGAGTTGAAAGGGAAATGAAGAGACTTGAAGTAT